AGCTATGTGCAGATATGTATGTTACCTTTGAAAGTTTATGTGTTTTCAGAGCACAGGACCAGACACCAATGAAAACAGGTGGCCCTGGTGATCCAGCCTCTCAGAGTGCCTCTGTTGCAATTTCCTCAGAGTTCTACATTCAGAATAGCTTCAAGGCTGCAGGCTGAGATGGCCCAGCCTCACAAACTATTCTAGCCAGGAATTTATCATTATCCTAATTTTCTCAGGGTCCCCAAAAGATGTCAGTGCCCCAAGAAACAGGAAGCAATTTAAAAGCATAATGCCCTCTTTCCCAAGAAGTGGGGTGGGAGGTTTTTGGTTGTTCAATAAATCTTTGTTATCACCTAGGGGGGTTAGGCACAAGTCATTATTGGTTATGGTCAGGGAGGATACTAAGCAAAGAAAATTAGATTCAGGAATTTCATTCTGAAAAGAAAAATGGGATGCAGAAATGATAGGATAAGAAAAAGTGGGAAGTACACTTGAACCCATTGGCACAGGAGACCTCTTCCTAAAAATAACCCCAGTAGCACAGACACTGAGAGAAACAATTAATACATGGGACTTCCTGAAACTGAAACGCTTCTGTAAAATAAAGGACATGGTCAAGAAGACAAAATGACAGCCTAGAGAATGGGAAATGATCTTCACTAACCCCAACGGTACAGAGGAATTTTGGGTGACTGTCCGGGCAGCGAGATGTCTCTGTCATTTCTAGAGTTTTAAAAGTTGCTTTTTTCTTGTTTGCTTAGGTAGTATTGTATCTTTCTGGAGTCTTTGATGGAGTTAAGAATAGTTAGTTATAGTTTTCCTTAGTTATGATAAAGATTATTGTAACTTTTACTTGATAACTGTTTCGTTATATGTAATTTTGCTATGTTAAAGTTAAAGCCTTTTTTTTGTTTGTTTGTTTGTTTAAACTGAAAAAGGGGAAATGAAGGAGGAAGGTCATTGGCTAATAAAGGAACTGCCTTGGCCCATTTTATTGGTTAGAAGATAGGTGGGAGGAGTAAACAGAACAGAACGTTGGGAGGAAGAGGAAGTAAGCTCAGACTCGACAGCTCTCCTCTCGGGAGCAGACGCCTCAGAGAGACGCCATGCTCCTGGCTCCTGGGCAGACGCACAGAATCTTCCCGGTAAGCGCACCTAGGGGCGCAACACAGATGATTAGAAATGGGCTAAATTAATATGTGAGAATTAGCCTAGAAGAGGCTAGATCGAAATGGGCCAAGCAGTGATTAAAAGAATACAGTTTCCGTGTAATTATTTTGTGTAAAGCTAGCCGTGGGGGCAGCCTGGTGCTGGGGACGCAGCCCCGCCGCCCTTATTACTACAATATGATACATCTGCTCCTGGCAGCACCAATCAAAGAACCTTCATATGTAGTTAGCTTTCTATATGGTAAAATTTAGCTACTAGGCAAATAAACGGCCCTTTCCTCAATTGCTGACAGTATAATATCCAGTAAATAGGGGCGGCAGGGCTGCCCTTTCCTCAATTGCTGACAGTATAATATCCAGATTGAACAAGCAGGACACAAAAGAAAATATCTGCCAAATTTTGTCAAGACAAGGTAGGACAGCCCTTCAAAATTCCTACTTCACAAAAAAGCCTGTCACATCTCCTGGGTCTATAGGCCAAAGATGGATGTTCCAAAGTTGGAGAGAAATCTTGGGTGACTGTCCAGCCAGCTAGCTGCTTGTATAATTTCTATAGGATTGGAAGTTGTTTGCTCTGTACTTCCTGTTTATTCAAGTAATATTTTAATCTTTCTTGGGTTTCTGATGGAGATTGAAGACTAGATAGTTATAGTTTTACAGTTTTCCTTGTAATAAAATTATAGAAAAAAAACTTATATAAGAGATATAAGTTTATAAGGTTGAGAAACATAAAAGCTTAATTTGTTTATCTAAAAATGTTTTTGAGGTCGGAAAAGATAGTTTTAAGATGGTAATACAAGTTATAAGAGAAAATTGTTTAAGTATAAAACTTTAAATACATTAAAATAAGAGATAATAGAGAATTTTCTCCAAATATTCCAAATACAAATGGACTGGACATTGTAAATATAATTCTTACTTAATTAGTCTTATTACATATAGTTTTATTAGTTAAAGTTAATACCTTTTCCTTCTATTTTGATAATACCTGATAACTCTTCTTATTGCATATAACTTTACTATGTTAAAGTTAAAACCTTCCACTCATATTTAGACAAAAGGGGGAATGTTGTGAAATAATCTTTTTGTAAACTATAAAGATGTGTTACTCTAATTAGTTTAATAATATATTAAATGGCCAATAGTTAGGCAGAATTTTCAGGGCAGAGAGCATGGTGGTAAGAAGAGTGAAGTTGCCTGACAGACACAGGTCAAGCAGGATGGGCACTACAGAGATGAGGTAATAAAGTCATGGGGCAGAAAGTAAATTAATAAAAATGGCCTAATGTAAGTTATAAGAGCTAGTTAGAAACAAGTCTAAGCTATTGAATGAGCTTTCATAATTAATAAGAAGTTTCCATGTGGTTATTTTGGAGCTTGCAGTTGGGACAGAGAAAGACTGGATACATACTAGAGAGATGCTTGCACATCTATGTCTGCAACACTATTTGCAGCAGGCAAGATAGGCAACCAACCTGCATTGTCTTCAACAGGGGAATGGACAATATGGTGGTGTTGAGTACAGTCTTGTTGAGTAATAATGAAGAATGAAATTATGTCATTTGTAGGAAAAAAGGAATGGAGGTAACTATCGTCAATACACATGATATACTTAAATCAATGTGATAAAATCCATGACCTTGTACAAAGAGTATGTGCCAGTAAAATTTAAAAATATGATAACAGAAATAAACCTCTCAGAAAGAGTAGCAGATAATTTCCAGAATACAAAGCAGAAAGACAAAAATCTTGGGAAACAGAGAAAGGATAATTATAGAAATAGGCCAGGACTCCAATATCAGTACAATAGTTCAAGGAAAGAAAATAAGGAAAATTATGTGGAAGGAAAAAATGAGTTAATTTAGACTGGAGATTCCAGTTTCAGAGAGATCAGCAAGGGACAGGGGACAGCTCAGTTTTTGAATCTTGCCTAGTACATAAAAGGCCCTAGATTCCACACGTTTACCACAAAAATAAAAAGAAATTATGCCCCAAATACAAAGATAATTAAGAAAATAATGCCAATAAAGAAATTCTAAGTATTAGTTCCATATCATTCTGAGAAAGAGAACTGTGTCTCTTGAAAAGTAACAAAGTGGAGTCATTATTTTTCTAGAAGTCAGAAAACCATCTTCAAATTTCTGAGAATAATCCTTTCTTAGAATCCTATAAAGCATTAAGGAACAATAAATACACTTGTTCGTACAAGTTCTCAAAAACATGCAAATATATTACCTAACACGTATACTTTCTAAATAAACTATTAGATTTATTCTACCAAATAGGGGGTAAAACAATGAAAATTACATGAGGCTAGAGAGATGACTCAGCAGTTTATATCACTTGTTGATTTTGCATAGGACACAGGTTCTATTCCCAGAATCCGTGAAGTGCCTCCAACCATCCAAACACCAGTTCCAAGGGATCCCTTAGCTTATTCTGACTCCCATAGGTATCAGGTACTACTGAGGGATAATTCTTTTGTACACCGTAAAGATTTGTCACTCATATTGGTTTAATAAAATGCCAGTAGCCAGGCATGACATCTAGGCAGGGCAACCAGACTAGGAAAATTCTGGGAAGAGGAAAATCAGAGAGTCAGTCACCAGACACAGAGCAAGCAAGATGAGAATGCCTTACTGAGAAAGGGTACCAAGCCACGTGGCTAAACATACAAAAAAATTAATGGTCAATTTAAGTTGTGAAATCTAGTTAGTAATGAGCTTGAGCTAAAAGGCCAAATAGCTTATAATTAATACAAGTCTCTCTGTGTTTCTTTGGGACTGAACAGCTGAGAAACAAAAACTTCCACCTATAAATGGCGCCCATGCAAAAATACAGGCAACACATGCATACACATAAAATTAAATAAATCTTTTTATAAAAAGAATTGGCATGTAGACAGTAGGTCAGGCTACTCAAGAGACCAGTAAGAAGTACCTCCAACTGATATGCACCAAGATTCTGAGATGAAAGCAGGTCAGAAATCTCTAGAAGGTATTTCTTTAAGATAAAATTTAAAGATAGTGGGGCTAGAGAGATGGCTCAGTGGTTAAGAGCATTGCCTGCTCTTCCAAAGGTCCTGAGTTCAATTCCTTGCAACCACATGGTGGCTCACAACCATCTGTAATAAGGTCTGGTGCCCTCTTCTGGCCTGCAGGCATATACACAGATAGACTATTGTATACATAACAAATCAAAAAATAAATATTTAAAAAAAAATTAAAGATAGTGTATGAAAATATGAGGAGGACAAATCTCTATGATTCCTAAAATTGAAAGAGGTTGGAGTAGGAAGAAAGCAAAGCATATAGAAAATTAAATGAGAAAAGAAAATGGTAAAACACACACACACACACACACTCATACACACAAGAGAGAGAAGGAAAAGCAACCATATTTTACTATATGAGTCATCTGCCCAAAGAAATTCCAGTCTTAATAATTGAGTTAAATATAGCCAATTGATCTAACAAAAATATACTGGAAGCTTTGGAGAAAAAGAATTTCATGCGGATATGGTCGTGGGACAAAAAACAGTGAAAGAGACCTAAATCTTCATTTTCTAAAGCAGAAAGGAGAAAGACAAGCATGTTATTTAGAGATAGGGAGGCAAATACCAGAAGAAGCTAAAAGTGGTTGCCTCTGGGGAACACCAAAATATATTTATATGTATAAATGTACGTATGTACTTTGCTTGAGAGAAGAGTTGCTGTTTTATATATAACATATATATATATATACATATATAATTTAGTCAAAGCAGAAAATGAAACTGTTAATGAGAAATATTCCAATATATTTCAAAAAGAATATGTTCAATACTTAAATGATTAATACCTGGAAAAAGGCACATTCTGAATACTTTCTCCAAATTAACTCTGACCTGGGTTTATTCTGACAGTACTTGGCATACATCTGAAAATCATCTTTCTGTAATAAAAAACAAAAGCAAATATATTACTAATTTATAAATATGAATTTTTATTTCAAAAAAGCTGAACAACAGAGTGGGTAGCCAACCATTGTAGTGAATGTGACATAAAATGGCCTGCTTTGTGTTCCACGGACAACAGGATATATAATTCTACAAGCAATTTCAGAACTCCTGCCTACCAGATTTGCCAGAGTAAGAAAAGTCTTATCTTTTTGAACTATTTATTACCATGATCTAATAAGGGCCCCAAAATGAGTTTTCTGTGCTACTAGTCTGCTGGCTGTCTAAATAAAGAGCTTGCAGCTAACTTCCAAGTTACAAGTAGTTCATAATTCATCACTGGGACATTATCACATCTAAGCACATGGTTGCACAGTTTGTTCTCCCTTGAATCATTTTCCCTAATCTTCATCCGTCTCCTACTCACACTTTCATCTCATGAGTTTCTTCTATACAGCCTCTGTTTATATCCTCAGGCTATGAACAATGTCCTTCTTTGGTGTGCCATAGGACCCTTTGTATATCTCTAATGGAGGATAACTCATTCTGTACATGCATTAGGGTTTCTATTTCTCTACCGAAATGCTCTTTAGCTTGGTATCCATGTCGCCCAGCATAGTGCTTGGTAGACAGTAAATATTAAATAGATGGCTATTGAATTGACATATCATCAAGAAACATTTATTAAACCACCACTACTACTACTAGACAAGAACTCTGCCAACTTTGACAGGGACAAAGACATATAGGATATGAGACCTCATCAGGCTGGGAAATAATTTACATATATATGTAAAGGTACACAGTAAATATAAAATGTCCTGTAAGTAGCATAGTGTTCGGTATTTTTAAGGATGGGCTCTCACTAAGTACTCCAGGATGGCCTGAGACTCAAAATTCTCTTGACTCTACCTCCTAAGTGCAAGCACCGTCACGTCTTTCAAAGTAGCAGTGTTAAGAACTAAGGATGTTGGACCAATGGCTGTTTAAAAACGATGATGAATTTATCCGTAGTTCAGACATTTTTATGTTTAGAACACGTTGAGAAAAGGTAGTATCATACCTTCTTTCTTAGTCCTGTTCTCATTTCTCATTTTTTCTCAGGCTTATTCTCTTCAACAATTTCCAAGGTAAGACAGTTATTCTAAATTTTCAACAATCTCTTTAATCTAAGTGATTCCCAATCAGAAGAGGTTTGATTTTTCAGGAAGAAGAAAAACTAGATAACTAGATAAAGATTTTTTAAATTCTATGGTTACATAATGAGACTCTCTATCATTTAAGTTTTATTTTTTAAAATTGCATCTTTTATTCTAACTTTAACCAAGTTCATAGTTATTCAATTAATATGCTCCCATCTTTCACATCTTCCTAGCTAGGGTGGTCACTGGATTCCTGAGATTACCATTGCTACTACCTGAGTAATTGAAACATTTAATACCAAAGAATAAAAGTGTACCTTGATCGCCCTACACATCATTTTCTTCAAATAAAATAGTTTTACATTAAGAACTTGCTAAAATTGTTGTGTCTTCTCCAAAAACATAAAGACATTAAAGGAAAGGGGATATCTTATCTTTAAGCCTGATTTATACAAGAGGTACTTTTGGGTTTCCAAAATTTACATAATTTCAAAACAAATAATCAGACTAACCCTTTCCAGGAAACAAGGTCCAACTCTTTCTGGAGCATTAGAGCAATCTTCCAGGCTGCTCATAAAAATGCTGTGAAATTTGCAGAGAAAAAAGTTATTTTTGACATATAATAAAACAGTAAGTAGCTCTTTTTTTTTCCATCTTTTGAAACTGGGTCTCCTTATGTAGCCCTGGATGTCCTGGAACTCACTACATAGATCAGGTTGGCCTCGAATTCACAGAGAGACCCATCTATTTCTGCCTCACTAATGCTGGGATTAAAGATGTGTACCAATGACACCTAGCAGTAACTCTTTTTGAAAAAACAAAATCACCAAAAACTTCAGTTTAGCAATTACGTACTTGTTATGGAATTCATATATTTCTGCCATATTTCCAAAGAGAACATCCTTTTTATTTCTCAGTAGAGGTGGAATAAGATCAAACATCTGTGGATTGTCCATCTCAGATCTGTAGCCCTATTAAAAATAAATAATTTTTGCATTTTAAGTATTTATATTAAAGTTTTGTTGAGTCACTGATGATATCAGTACATCAAAGTGAATAAAAGACTTGTGGGTACAGCTTTTGAATTTTAACATTTAAATCCCTTAGTTACCAGAATTATCTGTGGCATTTTTTTTCTTTTAGTATGCAGGATAAGAAAATCAAAGCTTCGACTACATGGTTAGAATAAAAAGGTAGTACTTTGGCCTTCAAGGCTTTTATTGTAGTGTTGGAAACCAAACAGAAACCAACTATGAAAAATTATAGTACAGAATATAAAGGTCTCCGTAAATTGAAAGTAAGTGCTTAGATTTCTGTTCAGACCAAATTAGTATCATGGCATTTGTGTCAAATGAGTATTTTTATCCCACCCTCAGTTTTTTCCATCTCAACCTCTAAGTAGCAGCCTGGGAATAATTATAACAATGCCCCATGTCCCTAAGAGAACAGCTTCTCTTTTCTATAAGAAATTCTAAATCACGTATCCCCACTACTGAGAAGGAATATAAATGCCGTCATTAAAACAACATGTATTCTCAAATAACAGCAAACATACACTGCTACCAATGACGGAGAGAGAAACACAAGACTGCTTAGAATACTTTCTAATGGAAGTAGCCAGGGACAAGTCAAGAAAATGCGGCGGGGGGGACGACAATTTGCTACACTTACCAACAAAACAGTAAACAGTTCTCCAACATATGCCTTTTCTGTCTGTATCAGCTCATTCAGGACATGGCTACAACGAACAGAACATAATTACCAGTTAATGTCCTACTCACAAATCACGGTACAATGGTTCAGCTATTATCTTTAGACATAATCTAAGGGAAAATAAGCTAATCTTGTGGAACTACCTGAGGATTTTGTTCCAGCATCAAAATATGAAGCTTATTTTATGGGTTTTGGAATCAGTACCACCCAGAAGGCTCTTAAACAGATTTAAAAGAAAGAAGTCTGGGTGTGGTGGCACACACTTTTAATGCCAGCACTCAAGAAGCAGAGGCAGAGGCAGAAGAATCTCTGAGTTCAAAGTTAACATTTATTCTAGGCTTGCCAGGGCTACATACCAAGACTCTGTCTCATGGGGGGGGGGGGTTCAAGGAAGAAACATGTTTAAGGCTATGTGCTAACACAAAAGTGATTTCTAATTCACTTAGATTAAGAATAAATTTATTAAAATGTTGTGGAGTATTATTTTATTTTAAGATGTATTACATTCATTTTTGCTGTGGAACATTTGTTTAATGATGCAAAGGTATGTTGCATTCTTTTATATTGCATTTGTTTAACTCTGCGAAGTTATGTTACTTTGCCTGTCTAAAACACCTGATTGGTCTAATGAAGAGCTGAATGGCCAATAGCAAGGCAGGAGAAAGGATAGACAGGGCTGCCAGGCCGAAAGAATAAATAGGAGGAAAAATCTGGGAAGAAAGGAGATCAAGGAACAAGACAACATCATGGGCCAGCCACACAGCCAGACGTGGAATAAAAAGAAAGATAGGCAGAAATAGAGAAAGAGAAAAGATGAGCTAATTTAAAGTTAAGAATAGATGGCAAGAAACAAGCCAAGCTAAGGCCGGCTTTTGTAAGTAAAAATAAGCCTCTATATGTGATTTATTTGGGAACTGGTTAGCGGGCCCCTCAAAAAAACAAATAATAAAAACAACCAACAACACTAAAATCTCACAAAACCTATTTGGGAATGAAAGGCAAGTTTTGATCTTTCTAGACAGCTTAATTTCCTTTTTAAAAACCAATACATGCCGAGTACGTTCCACGCTATCCCCAATTCCTAGACACATGGTAAAATCATTACCCTTTTCCTCACATTGGATAGGAGGAAAACTTAAGACTCTACAGCACTACTGCCTGCCATCTCTATCAAATAAAATACATTTTATTTTCAACTGGCATATTTAAATTTTACTCCCCTCTGTAATATAAGCCACCTACTTAACCTCTACCTTTGTATATTTCTTCTTTTCTTTCTTATACTTTAAAGAATTTAGACCCTGTAGTTTTATAATGAGTCTCTTTCAATTATCTTTAATAATCTTGGGATACATATATATCTCCATGCAATTTGCTGCAACCTGCTGGCTATTTCCAACACCAAGATATGAAACTTTATTCCCTTTGGTTTTCTGAGGCAGGTTCCACCATGTACCTCTGGCTGTCCTTGAATTATGTAGACCAGGCTAGCTTCAAACTTGAAAGATTCACCTGCCTCTTCCTCCACCCCCAAGGTCTGGGATTAAAGGAATGCACCTCTAGGCCCAGATCATTATATGAAACTTAGAGGTAAATATTTTCAAGTTTAGAATATTAACATAAGAATATAAAAGCATGTAAAGGGGCGTTGCTAATATCTATGAGGTAGTATCTAGAATCCTGTATGGCTTTTCACAAACCACTTCATTGATTTTCATTTATTTTAAACTGAAAGAAACTGTCATGGCTTTAACTGTCAACTTGTCACAAAACGACAATAGCCTAAGAAAAGCAAACAAAAACTGAATAATTGCGCAGTCTGACTTGTGTACATAAGTCAGTGGGGGCATTCTTTCAATTGATGTATGAGGACTCAGCCCAGGCTGGGTGGTGCTACCCCTGGGCAGGTAGTCCTGGACTGTCTAATAAATACATACATACATACATACATACATACATACATACATACATACAAAAACTTAGCAAGCTATGGGGAACAAGCCAGTAAGCAGCATCCCTCCATGGCCTCTGCTTTAGTTCCTATGTCAAGAAGCCTGCCCTGACTTCGTCTCATAGTGAACAGTGATCTAGAAATATAAACCAAATAAACCATTTCCTCCCCAAATTGCTTTTGATCTTTATCACTGCAACAGAAACCAAACTAGAACAGATGGTACATCCCAATCCCAAGGGTACAACATTTCATTTATTAGTGCAATCATTCTGGGAATCTAATGTACACCATGGCTACTATCATCAATGAGGTATCTTATACAGAAGAAATACACTTAAAAAGTAGAATTTACACACTATGTTTTACCCTAAAAAGCAACAATCAGTGTTAACTAACTTGCTATAGTAATCATCTTATCCCCCACATACACACATACAGACATACGTTATATAGATATAGATATCTCATATTGTATATCCTAAATGTATACACTTTTTTCCAATTATATTTCAATAATACTAGGAAACACAGGCTTTGGAAAGAATGCATGCTGCTCTAGCAGAGGACACAGGTATGGTTCCCAGGATCCACATAGAGGCTTATAACCATTTGTAACTGCAGGTCCAGGAGCTCTGACTCCCTCTTCTGCCTCCCTGGTCACCAAGCACACACATGGTACACAAATATGTAGACCAAACATTCATACACATAAAATACAAATTAGATAGATAGATAGATAGATAGATAGATAGATAGATGGATGGATGAATTAATGAAAAATAAATAAACACATGATCTGAACTGATAAAAACAAAAACAAATCAAACACTTTCATTTTCCTTTTCAATCTGGAGATGAAAGATACAAAAGTCCTAAAAGCGGACTAGGATGTAGTTTAGGGCAGAGCACTTGCCTTACAATCCCTAGTACTACCAAATAAAAATCATCAGCTCCTCAAACCTAAATCCAAGATGTGTGACACCTTGCTAGTACTCTATTAATGTCCTCATTAGGACCCTATTTTGAAAACATAATTCTAAACACATGAGCCTTGGACACCGAACCAGAGTCTCCTGTAAAGAGGTGTACATATGAATGTAGGTAAAAAAAGAAATAATACTTCTTTAAAATATCCAAGTTATTGTCCAATCTGGGAGAGTGATCAGAATTCCTCTTCTCTTGGCTATCCTTAACGACTTCAATCTGAAATAATGAAAAAAAAGTTCAATCATGTCTATGTAGGTACAGTACTTTCTCAAATATATCTAATACCAAATTAACTTCAATCCTAACCTTGAAGGTAAACTGATAGAAAACACTGTATTTTTTTAAAACTTATTCCCCAAGGATACATGCCAAGACCCTCGAGGATGCCTGAAACTGTGGACGGTACTGAATCCTCTATGTACTGCACTTTTCCATAGATACATATGCATGATAAAGAAATATAATTTTTAAATTAAGCACAGTAAGATTAAAAATAATAATGCATAATAAAATATCTTATAATAAAAATTATATAATTCTATATCTTTTTTTCTCTAGAATTTTCCAGTTAATATTTTGAACCACCATTGACCACAGGTAGCTAAGCGTGTGAAAACATCAAGAAACCAATAGAAGCTGGGCATAGCGGTGCATGTCTTTAACCTCAGCACTCTGAAAGCAGAGCAGGTAGATCTCTATGAGTTTGAAGCCAGCCTAGTCTACAAGTTGAGCTCCAGGACAGTTCAAAATAAGGGAGGGAGGGAGGAAAAGAGGGAGGGAGGGAGGGAGGGAGGGAGGGAGAAGAGAAAGAGAAAAATTAAAAGGAAACAAATAGATGTGTTTCCTGCATCCTGAGTCAGTCTCTGCACTGTCCATGATAAACTGGACTCTATCCTTCATACTTACAGTGCCACACTCATTCATGAAAGAAACCACTATCTGTAGAAAGATAAAGCATTGCTTAGGAGGGTGGAGGTGGGCAGTATGAACAAGAACTGGAACTGATACACAGAGCTCTGCAGAGATGATTCTGAACTTAAACCAGGACTTTAAGAAATACTGCTCACACACTGGGACTATGCCAATACTTCAATTAAACACAAGGCAGCAGATTTTTCTTGTACGTGTAGGTTTTCAAATGTACAAGGTCTGTGTAATGAATGGAAAACATGCCTAAAATCCCCATACTAATTCCGCAATTATAGCAGCACAGCCAACTTTGAATTCATTAATTAATTGTACTTACTTTACTTAATTGCATGTTGCTCTGAGCTTGAGTCTGTCTCCAAGACTTCTTTACTAGTAGGGAAATGTAAAATAACGTTAGACCAGAATTAAAGTCAACCGTTTTAGTGACAACATGGTGTGTGTTCATTGAAAAGAAAGCGAATGCTTCAATATATTTGTTAGTATTTTAAATCACTCTACAGAAGACAGCAATTGGTTAGATGTCTATATAAATCCAACTTTTTATGGAATATCATTTTTCTATATACTACCCATTTCCTCATTAACCACACAATCACCTACTTGCCAAAAGAAAGGGGTGTTAAGTAGTCCCAATTATGCAATTATGTTTATACTTAGTATGCAATCTGCCACACAAACATTCCATCAGATTGTACTTCACTTGCTAACTGGATCAAAGACTTCTTTGAATCATACATAGCCCTACATGTATGAGACCAGGGAAGACCAGGGAAGGGTACTTGGGGAGGGTAGTGAAAAGAACAAATTATGGGGCTGGCAAGATAGTTGATCAAGTAAAAGTGTTACTGCTAACCCTAATGAGCTAAGTTTGCTCCCCAAGACCCATATGATAGCAGGTGAGCAGCAACCCCAGTAAACTGTCCTCTGACCTCCATATGTTTACCGTTACACACACACACACACACACACACACACACACAAATGCAAATAAATTATGTATGAAAAGCCATAATGAAATTCATTGCTTTATATATTAACTTAAAAATTAATAACAAAAAATCCAAGTTGAACCTAGTAAATATAGCATTCAGCATTTATTTGGCACTTACCCCAAGCAGGCCCCGAACTAAGCCCAATGGTTTGTTTTCTTTTTTCATTCTCAAGTCTACACTAAGCGATGGAGAACAGTATCTATCTCATCTTACAGGTAGCACTAAGACTAATACCTTGTTCAGGAAGTAAAGGTGGTATTTAAACCCATACATGTTTCTAAATACTACATAAAGGATTTCCAAAATAATTGATAAAATGCTCATAAAAACCCCTTCACCAAAATGCAAAGTTTTACTCTTTATTTTTAAACAGTAAATTTCCAGCACTGGGAAAAAAACAGGGTGTAGGGTGAACTGGGAATATAGCTCAATGAAAGAGCACTTGCCTAGCATGTGTTCAGTTCCCAGCACTGACAAAAGATGTTTTCACAGAAACAAGCAAGTAAAGGGCATGGACAAATCAAAGAATATATAAAGTTCCAAATCCTGAAAGCTGTTACCTGAGTACTGGCCTCAGCATGGAAGATATATACCCTTTATCCTCCTCTCCTTGGCAAAAGCTAATGGCAGACACATTGAGGAAGTGGATAGTCTTTCATAGTCTATAAAATGTGTACTTCACTGCCATTCATTAAAAAGTATTGACATATGCAAGCTATATATAACTACATATTAGACTTAGTGTGAGTTACCATATAAAATCATTTCTTGATAAGTACTGATGTGCCTCACTTTAAAGATATCTAACATACAAAGATCCAAATTTATTCCTAAAGGTAAATTATGGGTTGTTTGCAAACACACAGAGGTAGAAAAGGGTATGTGTGTATACCTCCATAACACACCTTTTTCTCAAAAGCGAGGTAACTATACTCATTCTTTTAACAATGTAGAGACATACGAAATGGCTAAGCACCTGTGTGATGTGACAAGCTACTTTCTGTGTTTGGGGATATGCAAAGGTGACTTGCACACAGATCCTGTCCTTGCAGAGAGTGTCCTGTCTAGCAAGTGCAACAGGAAACAGAGAAGTTGGCTGCAGCTGAGAAGAAATAAGGAAGCTTGTTGTTACATGAGATGGACGCCTGCTTGAGCCAAGCTACAGGGGACCAGCACAGAATAGAGAAAAGCATGTCTAGAGGAGGCAGCCTAGAGATAGGAACTAGCAACGAGGCAATGGAGCAATCAGGCAAAAGCAGTCCAGAGAATCAGCAATCTATGCAAATTCCACAAGGTAAAAGAAAAGGTAACAAGGAAAGTGTGGCAATGGGAGCCAAAAAGACTATTGCCAAGGCCACGGGTGATGCTACCTTAGACTCAGAAAGTGTCAATAAAGGAAGTAATGGTGGGAATAAATAGACGCATAAAGGGCATATTTAGTGACAAAAACAATGGTATAGGAGTGAGCAGGAAGAACTAAATTAGGACAAATGGGGCCATCATAGTACCTATCAACAAGATGAGGAAGAAAAGATTTACAGAAGAGATATGTTCTTGTAGGAATGGTGAGACTGTTTCCTATGGGAAATTCCATATGACAAATACCAGTCTGAAGCATAGGTGACAAACCTAGACTATAAACAGAGCTTTTGGAGCCCAAGCATAGCTTCCACTTTATTCCTCAATGGCACTGCCCTTCCACAACTTCCCTCCGTTCTCAATGCGAATTCATCAAACATCTTATGCCATCCTGCTCGTTTCCAGGCACGATGCCAGGTGGAAGATTCAGTTTGATGAAAAGGGGGGGAAGCAAAAACAGAATAAAAAACCAGTTTGACTCATTTTCATGAAAAAATTAGCACACACTTTGATTTGGTCAATTACTTGGTTTACCAATTCCAAGTTTTGAAAACTTGTCTGAAATATGTTATTATATCCTGCATTACCCACAGATAATCAATAGGGTAAATGTTCAGAAGATTCACAGCATAAATGGTGATTTGGTTTCATTTACAAACCATGAAGGATGATGGGAAAAATCGCCTCTCCCAGCCATTTATTCATTAAGGTGTCTTCTCCCTCATAAATACACCAAGTAGTCTTAAGCTGAAGCAAATCCAAGCTATTCCCAACAAATATCTAGATATGAGTGGTGTGAGTCTTTAAAGTGAAGAAAACCCTGATTCACATTAATTTCACTAAACTCTTTTTAAGATGTATTTTTATTTACTTTGAATTATATCTATGTGAGTGAGTCTATTGGTACCCACAGAGGCCAAAAGAGGGCATTAGATCCCCTGGAATTACAGGTTGTTGTGAGCTGCCATGTGGATGCTGGGAAGTGAACCGGGGTTCTCTGGAGGAGCAGGGAGTACTCTTAACCACTGAGCCATCTCTCCTGCCTCCTCTCTCTTTTGGTTAAGTGGTAGTTTTATGAAAGAAAATTGACTTTAGAAGCATATTTTATTCTTTACATAGTCATTTTTTAAGGAAAATTCAATGTCAAAAGAGAATAATGGATAGTTGGTATGAAAAAATAAATAAAGTTATTTGAAGGTAGAATTCATGAATGAACTGCTGCTGTTTTTATGTGCCAAACTGGTTTTTCATGTGTACAAACTCATAAACTCTATTGATGATAAGTAATATAATAAAGATGGGTACCTTTTGAAAAAAGTTTACATGCTTGAAAGAAAGAATATCCAACTCCCACTGCAGAAAGAAAGTGTAATGCCATTAAATAAGAATATGAGAAAGAAAGAAAAATGAAATAATACAAAACAAAATTTTCTTTGAATGACTAATGACATGAATGGGTCTTGGACAGCCTGGTCACGAACCAAAGTTCTCTGCTTCAGGAAGACTTAAGCTTTGGGGGGGGGGGGTCTGCTAAGAAAGGAGATTTAATCAGGAGGAAGAGAGAATCCAATTTATTGAGTAATTGTCATTTTCTGTATTCTGTTTCACTTTCTCATTATAATCACCTCTGAAATCAGAAGGTATTTGTCCCTACTTTACAGACAAAGACACTGAGTTAACAGTGGGTAGCCGCCCAAGGTCACACAGCTAAAGTATCCTGAAATTGAACTGATATCTACTTTGTGCTTAGAAATATCAACTATTGTGTTTCATCAGCTCATTGTGCTACTGTTATTCTTTTACTTTTTTCATTACCTTTGATATTTCCAGTATCTTGGTATGTTTTTTACTATAGTCAACATTATTCATTTACACCATTGCTCACACAGTCTTATTTTGAGTATATGTATGCATTTTGGAATTACTAACCATATAACTTCCATTGCATTTGTAATTTGACCCATGCTGGAGATGAGTTGTATTTATTCATTACCTCTGGTTCAAGCTTCTCTGCATTTCAACGTAGTTTCATACACTAGTAAAATGACTGATTCAATTTAGGTCAAAGAGAGTGAATTTAGCCATATGTTCACCTCTCCTACTAACCTAACTTGTGCAAAAGATCAAAACTGCTTCTCCCCAAAAGCTGCAGAGATAGCTCCAAGAAACCCTTGGGGAATTAATTCTTATTTTCGCACTAATTCAACACCTTTATAAGAATTATTATTTTTCCTATAGAACTTGGAAAGGAATGGGAGAGTACACAATAAAATAGACTTCAAGGAGTAAAACATAAAAATGGAATCTGTAACAAGAAATTACTAACACAAGTGGCATTTACCGGCACCAACCTATTATATAAAACACTCGTATGCAAGGATCACATAAGGTGCAGGTATCACAAACTGAACTGGACTTTCGGGTCTATCTTTTGCGTCCTTGGAATCAGCCTGTTGGTTCTCAACTATACTTGGAATACTTTCAAGCTTGAGTTGTACAGTCTGCATTTGAGCCTACAGATTACATAATAATAGCTTACTGGAGTACCAATAAGTATTATGCTTATAACTACATGTATGCAAATATAAGTTTCATGTCCTTTTCTCTAACTGCCGAGGAAAACAAAAATTGAAGTCTGATGCTGAAAACTTGTCATACTCATTTCTCAAGCTACAATATTCCATGCTGAGGTGTTCATCATCTGACGCAATTCAGTGTTACTACTATGTCTTATGAACATAAAGGAATCTCATTCTGACCTCTGTCTTGTACAACAGCATTTAAACATGCACAAAGAGGCTAAAAGATTTTAAATTTATCAGTATTGAAAAAGAATTTAGTAGATATATGAACTATATCAAAAGAAACAATAGCAAGACCAAAAAAGAAATAAAATGTGAAAACAAGCTACTTTACCATGTTTAGGTGAAAAAAACATTGCTCTGGACCTCATCAAATTTTCAGGTGCAGGTATGACAAACTGAACTGGACTTTCAGATCTACCTTTTGAATTCTTGGAATCAGCCTGTTGGTTCTCAAATATACTTCGAATACTTTCAAGCTTGAGTTGTACAGTCTGCATTTGAGCCTATGGATTACATAAGAATTCTATAAGCTGGGGCTGGAAACATGGGTCAGCAGTCAAGAACACTGGCTGCTCTTGAAGAGGATCTGGGTTCAAGTCCCAGCACCCACGTGACCACTCAGAGCCATGTGCAATTCTAGTTTTTGAATTATCCAGCATCTTCTTCTAGCTTCTGTATACACCAAGCATTGTACATTGTATACATCTATACACACATGCAGTTAAACACACACACACACACACACACACACATATATATATATATAATAAAATGTAAAATTATATGAACTGCTAGGCATAGTAAAGCACATTTTTAATTAAGGCACTAAGGAGACAGAGGTAGGTGAATCTCTGTGAGCTCAAGGCTGGCCTAGTTTACATAGCTAGTTCCAAGTCAGCCAAGGCTGCATAGCCAGGCTTGTCTCAAAAAACATGAAATGAACTAAAATGAAATAAGTCATAAAGACTACTATTAAATTCTTCAGATACAATTTCAAATTTGAATTCCAGGACTGGGGAGATGGCTTAGTCGGTAAAGCGCCTGCTACGTAATCATGGAAACCTGAGTTCAGAACCCGAGCAGTCATATAAAATCCAGGCAAGGCAGGAACTTCTATCACCTCAAGGCTGGGATAGCAGAGACAGGAGTGTCCCTGGAGCTCACTGGCCAGCCACGCTAACTGAATCAGCAAGAGCTCCAAGTTCACTGGAGAATGTCTCAGCATAAGGAGAGCGACTAAAAACCATCTTGAGGGTCAACTTTGGGCTCCCACCAGTGTGCACATGTGTGCATGCTCACACAAGCATGTAGATGCACATGGGTATACATACCCACAAGCATTTAGATGAATACATGTACATATCCACACAAGCATGAACATGCACACATGTACACAACCACACAAGCATGAACATGCACACATGTACACAACCACACAAGCATGAACATGCACACATGTACACAACCACCCAAGCATGAACATGCACACATGTACACAACCACACAAACATGTAGAGGTACTGCATACCAAATAAATTAATATGTAGGTATCGAAGCGATATATCTTTAGATTATAGTCTAGAAGAATAATTGTTTTAATTGCTGTTTAAGGACTAGGGAGATGGTTCATTGGGCAAAAAGATTTCTACACAAGAATCCAAAGAACACATACACAAAGTGGGGCATAGCATGTGAATCTCTGGTCTCTGTATGTCATGTGCTCACACGTACATGCACACATACAAATGCAAACATATAACACAAACACAGAAACAACTTATTTTGAACTTAAAATATAACTAGGACAAAATTAGGAAAGAAACAGAACAAATTACTGTATTCTCTATGTAAATATAAAACCAAAGTCCCAATATAAACAAACTGAGGGAAAAATGTATCAATCATAAAACTGGACATAACACTCTACTCCACTTAAGGGCCTCTGAGGATATAGAACAAAATGTACTTGAAAACTCATAGCACATTTGAAAAACTTAAAAATAATAGAGTCAGACTATAAGAGTCAGCACTCAGGAGGTCAAAGTTCCAGGCCAACCAAGGCTATACATGAAACCCTGTCTCAAGCAAACAAACAAATGATATACAATAATAGACTCAGAGCTCGTGGTGAAAGTTAGTCTTACATATACAGCCCATGCATGCCTTTGGATTTTTGATACTTGACAGTGGCACTACTATCATCCCTCAATCCTCTTGAGAGAGGACTGTGGATATATCCCCACAGCTGACTTTATATCAGGATACTGATATAAAGTCAGCTGTGGGGTAGTAAACCCTTACCCCATGGTAATTAGTTTGTGTGTCTTTGAATAAAATGTTTCTCACCTTTAATTCAGAAGAAAGGTGCACATCAAATTCATATTGCAAATTCTCAATATCATAATTGATGAAGGGCACAGCCATTTGAAGGAAATTTTGCACATCCTGAAGGGCTTTCTGAGCATCTTCTTTAGTCTGAAACTGATCCATTCCCTGATTAGCCAGGAGGCATTCTCCTTGATCACAGCACTGACATGCCTGATGAGGAAAATCATGAAAATCAGAGCAGCAAATGTAAGAATGGATAAAGGGGATGTGGGTTTGCCAGTAAAAGAGCTGTCTTGGGCTGGAGAGACAGCTCAGTGGTTAAGAGCACTGGCTGCTCTTCCAGAGGACCCAAGTTCAATTCCCAGCACCCATATGGTGCCTCACAACTGTCTGTAATACCAGTTCCAGGGACCCAACACCCTTACACATATATACATGCAGGGAAAACTCCAATGCACATAAAATAAAGATAATTAAATCATTTAAAATGTTGAAAAAAAGAAGCTGTCTATCTTTTTTATTATCACAACTTAGTGGAGGGGAGGGGAATGTAAATGGCTGTGCAAAGCACACGCAGGCCACAACACACATGTAGAAGTTGGAGGACAATTTGGTGGGAGACAGATCTCTCCTTCCAGCAGATGCATTCTTGGATTCGACTCTGGTTATAATGCCCGTCAGCAAGTGCCTTTACTCACTGAACCACCTGTGTGCTGGAGCTTATCTGTCAATAAGAATTGCTTTCAGAAGCCAGCCTTGATGGCACACAATTTGAATCCCAACGCTCAGAAGGCAGACGCAGGTGGATCTCTATGAGCTTGAAGCCAGCTTGGTCTATAGAGTGAGTTCCTAGCCAGCCAGAGCTACATAGTGACACTCTGTTGCCATTAGAAAGAAAAGAAAGACAGACAGAGGGGGAGGAAGGGGAAAAGAGAGAGAAGGAGGGGGAGGAGGAAGAGAAAGAAAGAAAGGAAGGAAGGAAGAAAGGAAGGAAGGAAGGAAGGCTTTCAGAGCTGTTAATAAATGGTATCTAGGGTTGCCCCCAGAAGCTCTGATTCAGTAGCGCTGGGCTGCTAGGCAGCCATTCATATTATTAAAGCACTCCACTGATTACTGATGCACAGCCAAGGTTGAGAAGCACTGCATTTATTTCGTAACTAGTAATTTCTTCTGCAGCAGGTGTCTGACCATTTTCTCAGTTGCATGTTATTTTCTACAAATCAATAACTGAAATATGAAACTCCTAGTAAAATATGAAGTGTAATAGCAATGCTTAATGATTGCCAAGAACAAGAATAAAGGGTGGGGTTTTTCTGAACCAGAAGAGATGTGCAGATTAGCACGCTTAGTGCAGATGCGATGCTGACAAATGGGACTGCTGTTTACATTCTGCATTGCCATGACCAGGTCTTTTCATTCACTGCTTAATCACAAAAGAGTTCTGACACACAGGCATGGCAGAAGAACTTTTCAGTCACCAGTTAATTTTTAGTGCCGAACTATGAAATGTGGAAGGAATTTCAGGCTTCTGCAAAACGTCCCCTAGGCTTTTAAGTACTCTAACTGCAGAATAGCACCAAGTTTCGGAGATAGACTTAAAATAGAAAGGAAGCCATCACTGCCATGGTCTCCACATTGAGAACAAGACAAAATTAGTACTCCATGGAATCTGCCACAAATAGTACATAGGGAGATAGACTGAAATCTATAAGCAGGCTCCGTCCTTAAGACCTCTGGCAAATCTAAATCCAAAGCTATGGCCCCTGACCCCTTAACCTTTGAAGAAAATATACAATAAAATGTATGGCCAAGTATATGGGAATAGGAAAGGTGTAGAGTAAGGCATAAGGGCAAGAATGTGAAAATTAGAGAACCCAAGAAGAAAAAAAATGATCTTTTTCGGAAATGAGTCATTTTCCATGCTATTACCTGCTGCAGGAGCTTGTGCATTTTGAAAGTCCTGCTCAGCTGTACCCACTTTGCTCTGATCTCATTAACCAAAATATCAGAAAGGTAGCGAAGCTCATTGCATCTCTGGCAGATTAAATCAAGTGCATAGTGGTGATTTGAGGCAAGCTTGTGGCCATGTATTATCACAAGCCGGGCCTTGGCTAACAGCTCCTGATTGGAAAGAGGGGAGAAAAGTCAGGACTGGATGATCTCTGCTCTTAGAGCATTGGGGGGGGGGGCAAAGAAAAACATCATTAAAGATTACATTTGGCAGGGAAAATAAATCGCCATAAAACATGATGTCATGTCATTTTTCTGCATTCAGTAAAATAGGACACACACACAAACAAACAAAATAAAAACCTCACACTGATAACGATTAACTTCAACTGGCATTAAGCATCAGAAGTGCAAGCATTTCTGGATATAAAATGAAAGTCAACTACACCATTCCACTCAGGATATAGATCGCCTTCTAGAGTGCATAGACATAAAACAGAAGCACATACAGCACCCAGCATAAAGTAAACACCAGCCGAATGAAAGCTAATCCATTTCGATCTTAATTCAAGTTGTTCCTCACCTAAGCGCTCTGGCTGTACCTAAAGTGAATAGCAGAAGGGACTCTCATGACTTCACTTCCATTCTGTCAACTACTGACTCCCATAGCACAGTGACTGAAACATGGTAGCGACATAATGTTTCCCGAAGCAAAATAAGGCAAACTGAAGCCCAGATGAGGCAGTGACTGGCCTTCCTAGCTATTGGGAAACCCACAATTAAAACAGAGTTGCTTTTTTAAAATGCGCCAGACATTCAATCTTACATATGAAAATACCACCGTCCTAGTTAGGTTTAATTGCCAACTTGACACAGCCTAGAGCAGTGGTTCTCAACCTGTGTATCACAACCCCTAGGGGTGCCAAAGAAGCCTTTCGCGGGATTCACTGAAGACAAACAGAAAACATGGGTATTTACATTGTTATTCATAACCATTATGAAGTAGCAATAAAAATAATTTTATGGTTGGGGGTCACCAGAACGTGAAGAACTGTATTAAAGGTCGCAGCATTAGGAAGATTGAGAACCACCGAACTAGAATGAGCTGAAAGCCTCAGCTGAGGACTTTCCCATATCAGATTGTCTGGGCATGCTTGTGAAAGACTGTCTTGATTACCAATTGATGGAGGAGGCCCCGCCCACTGTGGTCAGTATCCTCCCTAGGCAGGTGGGCCTGAGCTATCTAAACTAGCTGAGGGTGAGCTGGGGAGGAAGGGAGCAAGCAACATTCCTCCGTGGGGTTTTCTTCCGGTTTCTGTCCTGGCCTCCCTTAAAGACAGACTATGACCTGGAACTTTAAGCCGAACAAACCTTTTCTTCCTCAAATATGCTTTTGCTCAGCGTGTTTTATCACCGTAATGGGAAGGAAACCAGAACCACTACTGAACTGGGGGCTTAAAAATGGCAGGTTCTGGGCCATCCGTTTAAATCACATTGGAAAAAAGTATTCAAAACAAATAAAGCCCCTGGCTTCAAAGTCAGGTTGCCCTCTCTGTCCACTCTGTCTGTCGTGGGGAGGTGTCAAGGGCAACACAGCACAGAGGGCCACATGCCTAACTCCTTTACTGGTTACTGCAACTTCCCGACCTCGGCTACCACTTGCACACGCTTGTGGTTCAATCATGAGTTCGTTTTCTAAGCATTGCTTTGCTGTCACATACAAGGCAGAAGAGCAAAGGTAGTTTACTAAGTATTAAAGTCACGAATCTAAGCTCTAGAATTAACAAGAATGCTGGCAACTGCTTTTCCGTTGAGTACATAATAATATTCAGGGGATATACTATGCACTATGGATACATCTAGAGAAATACTCACCCATCACTCTCCAAAGAAGGTCATTTTACTTCCAAGTTCTAGAAAAGGGCATTGAAGCCTATAGATCAATTCACCCAAGGTCCAACAGCTACTCAGACTGAGAAGAGCTGTCTGTGTGGATCTGGGATTGATTCAACTATGTATAATGAACATTAGACAATCCGTAGTCTTATATCATTCCATAAGTTCCATATACAAAATAACTCTTTTTTGAGGCAGGGTCTCATGTAGAATAGGCTGGCCTAAAACTCGCTATGTATCTGCGGCCCCATTATGTATCATTCTTGACAGACATCTTTTCCTAACGTCTCCAAGACAATTTAATCTCATTGTAGAGCCTACAACTTACATAGTTGTATACAACTACATGATGCATCTGCAATGTTATCCTAGGGCCACACTTAAAAATGGATTTAGGCTGGAGAGATGGCTCAGAGGTTAAGAGCATTGCCTGCTCTTCCAAAGGCCCTGAGTTCAATTCCCAGCAACCACATGGTGGCTCACAACCATCTGTAATGGGGTCTGGTGCCCTCTTCTGGCCATACACACAGACAGAATATTGTATAAACAATAAATAAATAAATATTTTTAAAAAATAATAAAATAAAAATGGATTTAGGCTAGTATCACTGTGTCAACTATATACTTATGACAGGTTAAGTATAATAAGCATGTATATTATGCCCCAATAAAACATAAACAGAGAAAATACTAAAATGTAATCTTACCTGAGATTTTTCATCCAAGTTCTCTATTTTTTTAAGTCTTTGTTTTATCTGAGTTAAGTTCCCTGTTGCATCACTGAGTTCTCTTTGTTGATTTAATACAAATTCAATTTTAGTCATAACCTACAAGGAAGATATAAAGGTTTTAAAAGCATGTGAATTATTAAGAATTCACCTTTATGATTAATCTTACTGCAACTTGATATGCCATGTTTTATTGATACTCATTAGAAGCCTTCCCTTTGCTGTATGAAGATGGAAGAGGAGTGGTTTGGGGGCAAAACGGGGCACTGGGAGAGAGGGACTGGAAGGGGAGGATGGGGAGAGAGGCTGCAGGTGGGATATAAAATTAATAGATAAATTTAAAAAGGAGAAAAAAGAATTCACCTTTAGCAATGATCAGTTACATAAGAAATGCTATTAAACAAGAATGCCAATAGGAGAAAATTATACATATAGGAAATATGTTCAGCTATTTTGCTCACAGAAATAAATGTAATCTGTTAAGTTATAGCCTCTTAGATATCCATGCATACTTAATTATATATAAGATCACTGTGTACATGTGCAGACATATATAGCAGACATACTTCTTTGTGACCTCTGGCCTCAAAACTATGCACAAGAAAGAAAGAGAGAGAGAGAGAGAGAGAGAGAGAGAGAGAGAGAATACAACACAGAGACAATAGCAAAAATCATAAGCCATGAAAATTCTAGAAATATATGCGTCAAATAAATGAATGAGAAGGGAAAGCTTGCTTTATCGAAGTTCCTATGGTAGATAAATAAATATGGAAAGATTATCACTGAAGGCTGCCAGAGCAAAGACTGAGTCAGAAAAGAATCACCAGATGCTCTACGGACAACGCTGTGCACTCTATGGACAAATCCGAAAAGGAAAGCAGAGACTTTCCATCTTCTCCCCACATACTTACTACTGGCTACAAGGAGAGAAAGAGCTGTGAAGCAGTGAAGAAACCCAACAGTGCTCGCACTGGCTAATCCAAATCCGCACCAACAAAGCGGGATAAGTGGATATTTCTGACCTCTAGATGTGCCATCTTGAAAAGAGCACTTCTGCACTATTCTAGTTGTCTACAGGTAGACAATCTCATTGCGAAAACACATTAAACAAACTCAAGATGAACAAATTCTACTTCTAAATTGGACTATATTTTTCAAAATATTAGCAATGTAAAAATTTTTTAAAATCTAAAAATGTTCTATATCAGAGCTACAGTACTGAAAACAGCCTGGTATTGGCATAAAAACAAACAAGATGACCAATGGTATCGAATAGAAGAATCGGATATTAATCCACACACCTATGAACACCTGATTTTTGAAAATTAAGTAAAAAATATCAAATGGGAAAAAGAAAGCATATTTAACAAGTGGTGCTGGCATAACTGGATTTCAACATGTAGAAAAATGAAAATAGACCCATATCTATCACCATGCACAAAACTCAAGTCCAAATGGATCAAAGACCTCAACATAAAGCCATCCACAATGAACCTTATAGAAGAGATAGTGGGAAGTATTGGCACAAACGACTACTTCTTAATATAACCCCAGTAGCACAGACACTGGGAAACAATTAATACTTGTGACCTCCTAAAACTTAGAAGCTTCTGTAAAGCAACCAGACCAAACGGAAGCCTACAGAATGGGAAAAGATCTTCACCAACCCCACATCAGACAGAGGTCTGATCTCCAAAATATACAAAGACCTCAAGATATTGGTCATCAAAAGAAAAAATAATCAATAAAAATGGAGTACAGACCTAAACAGAGAACTCTCAACAGAGGAATCTAAAATAGATGAAAGACACTTAAGGAAATGCTCAACATCTTTAGTCTTTAGAGAAATGCAAATCAAAACAACACTGAGATTCCATCTTACACCTGTCAGGATGGCCAGGATCAAAAACACTGATGACAACTTATGCTGGAGACATTGTGGAAAAAGGGAACACTTCTGCATTGCTGGTGGGAATGCAAGCTGGTACAGCTCCTTTGGATGTCAGTGTGGCGATTTCTCATAAAATTAGGAAACAACCTTCCTCAAGACCCAGTAATACCACTTTTGGGTATATACCCAAAGGATGCTCAGTCGTACTGACGGAATTAGATAATATAAAGGCCTTGTACTGTCATTGAATGTAGTGATTCTGATAACTACAATTCTGTAAAACAGTATTCTTACTATAAGAAAAGAATAAAGCATTTAGTAGAAAATAACCATCCCTATGGCATGTGGTATCTAAAGATCAATGGGCATTGTTTCCTTGGAAAAATATCTTATAGCCTGAAAGCACTTTGTATTGAAAATGTTTGAAGGATGAACATGAAAGTAGAGAAAGACTCTGACCCTGTCACACTCGACACATCAGTGCTTTGTCCCAGTGGAAGAAATGAAGGCTTGGATGCTAGCAGAGCTTTCCTTTGTTCCAAGCCAAGGAACTCGTCTCCTTTATTCTCCCCAGGATGGAAACTGGCATGCTGAAAGCCTGGCCTTCTAACACTCATGAATAAGGTCCTCCATCACAAGGAAAGAACTGTTTCAACTGACCTCTTGAAAGTCTTGCTCAAAATTCCACAGTTGCAGATACTGCTCCATTTTTAGCTGATGTTTCTCCCAAAATCCATCAAAAGCAGTTTCCATATCGTGCACTTGAGTCAGTAACCTTAACAAACAAAAGGCAAAGAATTATTTAAAAATAACCATTTGTGGGCCAGGTATGCAGCTAAACCTGGTCAGCTCCTTAAGATTTTAAACACTTCCCACCAACATGATACACTGTTCTGCCATGGGCCCAAAGTAACAGGGTCAAGTGAGCAGAGATTGAAATCTCTGAAACTGTAAGCCAAAATAAATACTTTCTCCATAAAAACAATAAAGAGTTAGTGAATGAATGAATGAATGAATTATAGGCAAAGGCCAAGCCTAGTGGCACACACCTTTAATCTAATACTTAGGAAGCAACGGAATGCAGAGCTCTGGAAGTTTAAGTCCAGTCCAGTTTATATGGAATTTCAGGCCAGCCAGAGCTACATAGTGAGATCTTTTCTCAAAAAAAAATAATTATAGGCAAAAATAGTCTATGACATTATGACACTTGGCTCAGGCAGAGAAAAATCAATGTCTGGGGAACGTACTCTGCAAGCAAACTAATGTCTGCAGACCAACCCGAGAAGAAGTTCCCAGACTTCCAGAGATCCAGAAATACTTTCATACCTAACAGCAACAAACAATGTAAAATTCCTAGTTTGAAAATATAAGCACATTTTCAAAGAAGGGAGCGTGTACTTATTAATAGTTTGCCAGTCACCGCTGATGTGCTGAGGACTTTCAAGACTTGAACTGACAGTTTCTCCAGTGTTAGGCACTTTCAGGTTCATGAGCAGAATTTTTCCTTCTTTGGTTACAGCTGTTAAGTCATTCTATATAAAGGAACAACAGGATATGTCAACCAGTTAGTAACCCAAGATGACGGATTTGAAGGGAATATACAGATAGAGAGGATGTATATAGCACAGGAGATACAAGCAATTCTAGCACAGCCTTTGCTTTCACAGTATTTCAGGACCACAGAATCTGCAAGTGTGAGGCTCTGTGGCCAGGGAGATGACTCAGTTGCTTAAAATGCTTACCTCTGAAGCACGAAGGCCTGAGTTCAATATCCAAAACACATATTTAAAAAAAACAGGTGTGATGGTGTTCATTTAGAATATGTGTGCCAGGGAGGTAGATCTAAGTAGATCCCTGAGGCTCACTGGTCAGCCAACAGAGCCTACATAGTTCCAGGCTACTAAGAGACCCTGTCCCAGAAACAAGGTAGGAAGCTGGGAAGATGGTTCAGTGGTTAAGAGCACTGACTACTCTTCCAAAGGACCTGGGTTCAACTCCTAGCACCCATATGGGGGTTCACAACTGTCTACAACTCTAGTTCCAGGGGATCTGACACACTCTTCTCGCCTCCATGGGCATTGCATAAGTATGGTGCACAGACAACAGGCAAGCAAACCATCCATATACATTATGAAACAAAATAACAAACAAAGGCAAAGTGGATGTCAAATGAGAAAGAATAACATCTTCCGGCCTCCACACACATGCACTGGCAAACACAGGGCATAAACACTCATGCAAATGTCAGCTTCAAAGAAGCTACTATCTTACAAACAGACTGGAGTCCCCAGCTGGCGAATTAGACATTACAGACAGAAGCACCAATCATGCTGTTTTGAGCTTCTTGCTACAGACAGTATTGGTTAGAAAGTTCTAACCAATCTTGTTCTATTCTGATAATATTTTTAATGTGCTCAGATCAAACCATATTAACACAATAACAACTACAATATCAGAAATCGTAAAGTTACAAAGCATATTTAATGCATATTCAGAAAAAATCACATACGTTTCTTAATAATCATTATTACCAATCACTTTGTGCCTTAAATCTTATTTTAGTTCACATGTGAGTTTAAGTAAGCACATGCTTGGGACATCTATAAACACAGATGTTCATCAGATATCTGAATGAGCCAAGATTTCCTTCGAAAGGTCCAAACAACTTACAAAGTTATGAGCAGATATTTGGCATAAAGAATAGGTAGTGTGGTAGAAAGGAAAAGATATGAGGCTCTAAGTTTAATTCCCAGCACCAAAAGAAATAATAAATAAATAAAAATCACACTAATATTAATAAACCACAAACTATGTGTTAAAAATCTATTGCATGTATACTACATAATTATCTCATTACATCATCCCTACAGCTGCACAAAAATTAGTCGTGCAAGCCAAGCCATGAGTGGTATCACATGCTTATACCTGGTGAAAGCATGAGAATCAGTAGTTCAAGGACACCTACAGCAGTGTGCTTAAAATTAGTCTAGGCTACAAGAAAGTCTGTCTCAAAGAACAACTACAAAATAATCATGAATCATCGTTAGCATCATCATCATCATCATCACCGTCGTCACCTTATTGCATACCGGGTTTTGCTTCTAGATTGTGATGCAAACATTTGGTTTCTCACATCTTCATTTAAACATTGCATCTGATATAGAACTTAAAACTGACAAGGAACCCAACATGCATTTTACGGGAGAGGGAGACAAATACTACACTCAGCTGTCTGATTTCCCTTGACCAAATTTTCCTGCATTTTGAGGAAAGTGCCTCTAAAAGTCAAACTGCCAGAACTGCTCCTCTTCTACTCCAGGCAGAACTGAGTAAAACAAAGTCAATTCCCCCCTGGGGAGGGGGGGGATTGGAAAGATGTCTCAAGAGATGCACAAGCGTCTCTTGTGGAGGACCCAGGTTCAGCTCTTAGCACCCACATGGTAGCAGGCAATCACCTAAACTCCAGTTTCAGAGGATCCGATGCCTTCTATAGGCACTAGGCACACATGTGGGGTACTCACATACATAGAAGCAACATACCGAAACATATAAAGTCAAAAGAAAAGAAAAAATATTTTGAATGTACCTTCCCTCTTCCCTATGTAAAATGAACACATTAAACTCCTTCCTGGAACAATAAATACCACGTGGCAGGATGTGATGGTGCATACCTGTAACCCCAGAACTCAGGAGGTTGAGAGAAAAGGATTCCAAGATTGAGGTCACCTTGCGCTAAATAGTGATTTCCAGGTCACCCTGGGCTACATAGTGAGAACCTAGCTCACAAACCACCAAGGACATAGGATTGCAATTTAGTGACAGCTTTTGCCTAACACTCAGGAGGCCCTGGATTCCATTCTTAATTCAACACAAAAAGACTTCAAGGAGCAGGATGATAGGGTAAAATCTGTGTGTTCTAAACAGACATACCTTCAACATCTGATACCTCTCAGCACGAACTGCCAGAATCTCCTGTATTGCAGGAATATCATCTGGTAGCTCTGTCTCAGCAAGCTCTGTTCCAAAGGATTGCAACATCTGAGCCACTTCCTTCACTGTAAGAGCGAAATTTTCTATAGCCTGTAAAAAGCCAGAGGATCTTTGATGGAAACTCTTAACATATCAAAATTTGATCAGTAATGTGTATTGCTCTATATATGGGAATAGACAACAGACATGTATGCTACAAACTTTTCTAGGAAACATTGGCACTACCCCTGACAATTAATGCTGCTAACTCTGCATCTAAACCCCCAAGAGACTAAAAAGCAGACTTGAAATCCTTGAATGTGTATTTCTACATATCTGGACTCAGTCACAGAAACTCTTTCTAAAAGATGCCATGTGCTGAGTACTTTGCTGTATGGCCTTGAACATCAGTGTCTTTCTTCCCTTAGCAAACTCAGCACTTAACAAAACTGCTTTCTAATAAGTTCACTTCTAAAGAGACATAAGACCAGCAATGTCAATCGACATTTATTAGTGTTTGTGATCAGCATGCCACAAAACATGATGATCTAAGGAGCCGGAGAGCAAGTGGTCACAATAGTTCATTGCAGGTACTGCCAAAGATCTGAAGTTGTTATTCCAAAGGTGCTGTTGCCCTAAAATGGCAAAGAAGGCTACACTATTTTGTTTCCAAAATCAGTGCCTCACGGGAACACAGAGGCAATGCAGACACAATATAAACCACCTGTTTGGCAGGTATCTCCAAGAGATTTGCTCTTTCATTTAAGGCAAGGCACTGCTCACTCTTAATGGTTCAACTTCACGTGAACACCTGAATTGCTGAATGAACCTACCAAACACACGGTTTGAATGAAGACTAGGAAATGTGACCCTGGTTTAGTGGTTATCATTATTTTCTTCAGAAGAGTTCTCATATCGTGAGATTGTAAGTCAAGACACTTAAATCACAGGCTTTATTCTATGTGGGAGGCCACAGCCCTTACCTCTGACAAATCTAATAACTTTGGGAGTGCCACTAGGCTGCAATGAATATACTTGCACTTTCTGAGGATCTCCATATACCAAGCAGCGAGTCATTTTGTATTCATTATCTCCCAAGATCCCTATTAGGTAACATATTATCAATCTCATTTTGTAGATAGAAAAAAGACTTGGAGAGGTGATATATATTGTCCAAGATCTAAGTGCTAGGATTTGAACCCAAAGCCTTTGTTTCTTTTTTTCTACATGATCACAGGAAGGGGTAGGCAGAGATTCCTCTGCTTTTTCCCTAGGTCTCTCCTTCAGTTGCCATCCTTAGTGACTCTTCATCATTTCTAGAAATATCTTTGAGAAGAAAACCAAAAATGTTGAATGATATATGTATTTGAAAAGTAGGAGACCCAATATTGCTTTTCCCAAGTAGGAAAATTTCTAGATAGAATGAAGGATAGGCTCTACAGTAAGGGCAGAAGCAACATACATTTCTGAAGATGATCCATTCACTGTGGCAGTACTGCAAGGTGCCGCCTAACTCAGGGGTTAATTGCTTGTCATCAATGTATGTCAGCAAATCACTAACTGAGCTCAGCATAACAACCTATGTAAATAAGCAAGAAAGACACTGTTAACTGCCCTTCATGACAGCCCTCCATCAGACTGCAAAAGGAATTTCAGTAAACTTAGCAGAGAATCATCCAGTTTAAAAACTTCAAACAGTTCTTTCCTGTGCATGCCCCTCCCCTGGATGCATTAACCATCTTCAGATAACAACAGTTTTTATTTACAGAACATTTCTATCAACCAATATTAGCTTCTACAGAAACCCAAACACCCTAATTCTTCTTTGTCTAAAAGGTTTCATTATTAATGAGCAATCTTGAACACACATATACATGCAAATGTGTGCACATGCGCACATGCACACACACACACACACACACAGAATTTCTGTGCTCAGAACACAGCAAAAGGACTTTACGTAGTAAGTTACGATTCAGGTATCAAATTTTATGAGCACTCTATTTAAAACAATAAAAACTAGCAAAGACTTATTTTCAAAATAAAAACCATGGTACTCTGGGCTAGCTAATGATCATGGTATTTCAGATATATAAACCATATAATGTTCACAGAAAATAAAAATTCCTAAGTGTACACACAGATATATACATACATCTATAACATATAACACATATTTTTCAAAAGGCATTGCCTTGTTATAAGTTGCCTGAACTAGTCCTTTTTAACAGTAGAAGCAGATGGCTGAAAGACATTTCAGAATTGAATTTTTGAGAGACAAATTTTATTTTAAGTGTTACATGGACACATGCAAAACAAACAGTATAAGATACAGAACACATAAGCATTAGGAGGACCAGAGAGTCAAGCAATAATCTTACTGGTAGTTTCACCATAAAATCCTCCTGGCTAAATCGAAATCCAATGTCCGTGAAAGTCCTCTGAAGAAAACTGGTAGGGCGTAAAACCAGGACTAAGTGTAAGCTCCCGGGGAAAGAGGCCTATAGCAAGAAAGAACAAAAGAGTGAGCTGGGACACAATTGACACAACAAACTCCCAACTGAGCACAAATCAGAAGACATGTCATTGGAGGAAGCAAACTTCAAAGTTACAGAAGTCAATAAAAGGCCAACCTGTTTAAGTGACTGATGATAATATCTGAAAACATGGAAATAGACATAAGAATTACATAGGGCTATTGGGCTATCCTTATAATGTTGCCAGTGTGGAATTTTCTAACAGGACACAAGCAGATCCTAACCTGCAAAGAATTAGGCTCTAAAGCTGTATCTTGAAATTAGTTTACTGTTTCTGATGTTTTCTTTCTTTTTAATTGATATATTAATATTAGGCTTATTCTTGTCAGAAACGACTATAATTTGATACATACATATAATATGTGATGATCACATCATTAATTAGCATATCGTTCACGCCAAACATTAGCATTTCTGTATCAGGAACTTTCAAACTCTTATAGTTATCTCATAATTACAGAGTGAAATTAACCCTGCCTCATAGGACACCAGAACTACTTCCTCCTCTTTAACTGTGCACCTAATATCCAGCCTCATTATATGTCTCTTTGTCTCTCCCTTCCCCTCCCTATACAAAGAGACTCCTAGTCTATGTTCCATTTCCAAGTGATCAGCTTTTGTAGCTTCTACCAATGAGGGAAAATATGAAACTGGCTGTTTTTCTGTGCCTGGCTCATTTTACTCAATAACATTTCCATCTCCAGTTCCATCCATGTTATCAAAAACAATGGATGCTATGTCATAGTTTTACAGCATGTATACATTTTTAAAGATTTATTTATTATGCATACAGTAGTCTGCCTACATGTATGCCTGCATGCCAGAAGAAGACACCAGATCTCAATATAGGTGATTGTAAGCCACCATGTGGGTGCTGGGAATTGAACTCAGGACCTCTGGAAGAGCAGCCAGTGCTCTCAACCTCTCAGCCATCTCTCCAGCCCCCAACAGTTTATCTTTTAATCCATGCATGGATATGTTGCATGGTTCCACACACTGCCTATTATTGATAATGTTGCAATCAACATGGATATGCAGGTATTCCTTTACGATACTCATTTTAATTTCTTTGGACATCAGTGAGATTGTTGGATTATATGCTAATTGCATTCCCAATTTTTGTGAAGAAACTGTTCTCCAATAATGATACTGATTCTCATTCCTATCATGTGCAAGGCAGCTCTCCTGTCTTCATCTTTGTCAGCATGCTACTTTTGGTCTTTTGCATGTTAGCCATTCTAGCCTTATTGTGATTTGTGATGCTCATCATGTGTATACACCTGTTTGATATTTGTAGAACTTCTTTTAAGAAATGTTACTCATACCATTTACCAATTTTTAATTAGACAGGGTTTTTGAGGAGTTTTTTGTTTTGTTTGGCTATTGAGGTTTTTTTTTTAAATACTCTAGGTATTAACCCTTTAATGAACAAACAGTTTAAAAATATTATTTCTGTTCTGTAGACTATCCCTGCATTGTGTTTATTGTTTCTTTTTTATACAGAAGTTCTTTTCATTAATTTAATCCTGTTTGCCTATTTATCTTATGCTTTGGGGCCCATATTTATAAATACAGCACACATCTGAAGAACCCACTTTCGTTAAAGTAAAATAAGAAAGGAAGGACTCGAACCCCCTAAAACTATATATATACATATATATTTCAGTGATACCATTTAAGAATGCTTCCTATATTTTTTGCGAGTGTTAATAGTTTCATAGTTTTGAGATTTTGTATTTAGGTGTTTGATCCAATTTGATTTATTTTTTAATGTTGAAAGATAGGAAGCTAGTTTTGTTCATATATGTACATCTCCACTACCATTTATTATATATGCCCTTGGTTCTTTTTGATGAAAACTGGTTGAAAATAAATTTCTGGGTTCTGTTCCACTCCATTGGTTTATGTTCCTGCCTTTATGTCACAAAATTGCTGAATTTGAAGTCAAATTGTATTTATTTCCTGTAAAAATGAAAACAGATAATGGAGCAGCCAAATGGCTCAGTAGGTAAAGGCATTTGCTATGCAAGCCTGGTGACCTGAGTTCCATCCCCAGAACCCACACGAAGTTGGAAGGAGAGAACTGACTCCACAGAGTTGCCAGTGCCTCACATACAAACACATATTATGCACATACACACCATAATAATAATAAATTTTATAAGAAAATTTAAAAACAGAATAAGGAGGCAAGTCCTTGGGATAACCGAAAAAAAACCAAAGGGAGCTAAAATATTATCTATCTATACTAAACAACTCATGAAAACTGTATCATAAAATCACGTTCTTGTTTTTATCCAAGGAAGTCCTATTTTCATTGCTATGTGAACACTCCATGCATTTAAATGAAAGATTATCAAGCACATACAGGCATTGAGAATACACAAATTAATTAAATGCTGTCCCTTCCAAGAAAATGACAGTTTAATAACTGAGCTTATTAGTAATCAACACAGCATGGTAAGCCAAAAAATAAAAGAATTAGAATAATATACACAGGAAACAATATCACGAAAGTTATGAAACATGAGAGGACCAAATAGCCTTTAAGAAAAAAGAGAAATTCCAAAGAGCAGTCAGGGTTCCCTGCCCTGTGATAAGTCCTAGGTCCTCCCCTCTCCATCCATTTCTAGGAAGGTGAACATCCAAACTGGCTAGGCTCCCACAAAGCCAATGGGGAGAGGAGTGGGGGGAGGGGGAGAAGGGTGGGAGGAGGGGGAGAAGGGTGGGAGGAGGGGGAGGGAAATGGGAGGCTGGGAGGAGGTGGAAACTTGTTTTTTTTTCTCCTTTTCTCAATAAAAAATTGGGAAAAAAAAGAAAAAAAGAAAAAAGAGAAATTAATTGAATGAAAATGCCATCCAAATTTTTTCAGTATTTCCCCAGCTTCTAGAAAAAAAAAGTCTGGCACATAGTAGGGCAGTTCTAGCTTTTAGTTCTGTAGCTGTGATAAGTATTCGGACTAAAAGTGATGTGGGGTTAGAGTTCAGTTTATAACGCCAGGTTATACAGTCCATCATGTGGAGAACTCAAAGCCAAAAGAATATGCGGGAACTGCTCACATTCACAGTCAAGGACAGAGAGGAAATGGATGCACCTAAGGGCTTGGTACTCAGCTCACCTTCTCCTCTCTTAAACAGTTCAGAATCAGCTGCCAAGGGGATAGTGGTGTCTAAAGTGAGCATGGTTTTCCCTCATTGATGATCAAAACAGTCTTCCATACGTCAACAGGATCTTTATAATTCCTCATTGAGACCCTCTTCCCAGAGGATTACAGATTGTGTCAAATTGACAAGGCCAACTGTAATCTCTTGGTCTGGTCTGTCACCTGGGTACCCTGTCCCTTTAAAAGACAAGCCCCGCCCACTTCCACCAAAGCAAATACCTCCCCCCCCCCTCTTTCTCTCTCTCCTTCTAGAGAGGTAGCTTCAGACTCTCTCTCTTCTCCTTCTCCTTCTCCCCTTCTCTCCCTTTTTCCCTCCATATAAAATAAACTTTATAGTTCAGCTCTCTTCATGGCATATCTATCTGTTTCTCTTCCACCAAGGCCTCAGGCCACCAGCCATGAGACCCACCAAGGACTTGGGTGACCCCTGCTGCCCCTTGTGGGACCGGTACCCCATCATCTCTTCATAAATAATAACACCAACCATCACAGCAGTGAAAAATACTTGCTACGGAAAGAAATTCCAAAACAAAAGAACAGGGACTACAATGCAAGATTGGCTATAAAAAGAAACAGCATGGCCCAATATTATATCACCACATAGTAAATGTGTACTCTATGTCAAATATTTAGCCAGTCCTTATAGGTCTACTTTACCATAGTTCAGTGAATGAGTTAAGTTGCCCTTTTTACAAATAAGGTGAAGCTCAGAGTGTGCTTAAGCATAACCTATGAAGCCTAGTCTTATACTAAGCCTTGTCTTATACTGGCCTTAGTCATTGAACTACCCCACCTCTTGAAGATGCCCTATCAAGAAAGGTAGAGGAAAAGGACTACGAAGGGACAAGATGTTGGAGAGGCAGACAAGAACCATAACAGGAGCTAGTCTGATGATTTCCCCCTTAGAAGTTAAGAAAATCAATCTTTTGAGTACTAGAGCACCATGGTCAGACACATATTTTATTTTATTTTATTTTAAAATTTGATGTGGTTCTAGGAATTAAACCCAACGCTAAATACAAGTGCCCTACCATGGCACTACAATCCTAGCCACGTCCTCTTATGTCTCATGAGCCTTGATAAAGAACTGAATTCAGACACAAGGAGAACCAGATTTGCGGCGACCTTGTAGAAAGATACAGTAATCCAACAGTCAGATCCTCAACCAGAGCAAAAGTAGCAAGAGTCATGGCAAAATCCAGGAAGTAGCATCATTAAATCATAATGATTAAGCGTACTTGATGAGATAGAGGGACTCAGTGAAATCCGTTCCAAGGTTTGAGATTTGAGTAACCCAGATGGGAACAAAAAAATAAGCATGCTTTATGAAGGAAAGCAAAATTCTGTTTTTTTTTTTCTATAGATGCTGTGTTTGGAAGAGCCAGCAAGACATTCTCATGATTTCTATAAGACAGTTCTCTGCATCTGCTTCCATCAGTTACTAAATGAAGGTTCTAGGGTGACAACTAGGGTAGTCACCAATCTGATCTCAGGAGAAGGCCAGTCAGATACTCTCTCCATTATTGCTAGGCATTTTAGAAGGCCTTTCTCAGCCTTGATGCAGGGGGGAGGGGATTGGTCCTGCTCAACTTAACAACTTGCCAGGCTTTGTTGACTCCCTGTGGGAGGCCTTACCTTTTCTGAGGAGTGGATGGGGGTGGAGTAGGAGGAGGAGTGGAAGGGAGAGAGGGAGGAGGGGAGGAAGAGGGAAATGTGGTTGGTATGTAAAATGAATAAAAAAAATTAATAAAAAAAAGATAGCTCTCCGTAGGGAAGGAGAGAGAAAAGGTCTCATTTGGGA